GATGGCTCTTATAGACTTTGCACAGATTTCCGGAAAGTGAATGCTGTTACAAAGGCGGATTCCTATCCACTGCCACGGATCGATGACTGTCTGGATAAGCTGGGCAATGCTCGATATGTCAGCAAATTTGATCTTCTCAAGGGCTATTGGCAGGTCCCACTCACCGATCGTGCGAAGAAGATCTCAACATTTGTCAACTAATGAAGGACTTCACCAATATAAACGACTTCTTAATAGCGTAATTGCTGATATTGATGGTTGCGAAGATAAATTGATGATGTGATCATATACAGTAACACTTGGCAGGGCAGGATCATCTCAGAACTATCACCGTTTTTTCTTTGTTTTTTTTTTTTTTTGTTTTTTTTTTTTTTTGATAAACTATCGGAGATGTAATTCGGTGAATCTTGTTAAATGTGAGTTTTCCCATGGAACAGTGGATTTCTTGGGATACTCTGTGGGATAAGGCCAAGTAAAACCAATCAAAGCTAAAGCAGAGGCAATTTCGGACATTCCCACTCCGAAAACAGGAAGGAACTGATGCGCTATCTTGGAATGACGGGATACTATAGGCGATTTTGTAAAAACTTTTCTATCATTGCCTAACCCCTCACTGCAAAAAGGATAAATTTCTATGGAGTGAGGATTGTAAGGTTGCTTTTCATAAAATAAAAGCAATACTTAATTGCTCCCCTGTACTCATCGCTCCAGACTTTGAGAAACAATTTCATTTGTATGTTGATGCGAGTGATATAGGGTCAGGGGCAGTTTTAATGCAGATTGGAGATGATGGCGTACATCATCCGCTTTGCTATTTTTCTAAGAAATTTGATAGACATCAATTAAATTATTCCACAATTGAAAAGGAATGTTTAGCATTAATGCTAGCTTTGAACCATTTTAATGTATATTTGTGTGTTACTCGACACCCAATTGTGGTGAATACTGATAAAAATCCTTTGACGTTCATAAACAAAATGAAGAACAAGAATTAAAGGATTCTTCATTGGAGTTTTTCTCTACAAGAGTATGATCTAGAAATTAGACATATTCGTGGCAAGGATAATATTCTTGCTGATGCCTTGTCAAGAGTGTAGATATAGTTAATTTACTTACTTTTTCCTTCACATAGGGGTGTGTTAGGTTATGCCTAATAAATTTATTTTACTATAATATAATGTTGAATACTGTTATACTATTTTTTATTATACTTTGTAATAGCTTAGTCTGTATTAACCATATTGTAGAGTGCATGATTAAAGTTCATAAATTTAAAGGGACAGCTGGCCTCCGGGTCATAGACTTGTTTCTTTTGCTGTCCCTTACCATGTTTCTTGGTGAATAAATAAATGAAATGAAAATGAAATTTTAAGACTTCATAAATTTTTTTTAACAAAATAGTACTATACAAACCATACAAGCTTTAGTAGCAGGTAGGTATATAACTGATTCAGAGTTTGCCAAGAAATTGATCGGTTGGGGACATGCGGCACATGTTAAGGTGGGTGGGGAGACATCACATCAATTCCTCCCCAAACTACTATTCACAAATGGTCTATAGTTAAAACCCCACTTTTCACATCGAGAGTAAAGAACAACAACAACTACGAATGACTGTCATGAATTTGTCTGTTCACTTTTGTTCTGTCCCTGTGCAACTCAAAATTGCGCAATTTCTGCTATAAATCAATCAATCAAAGTGTTCAGTGGCGCTGTCACACTTGTTTAAAAACGAGTTATTTATAATATTAAGATCCGTTGATAGCGTTTAATATTATCAACATATATACATTTCCTTTTTTCCTAATTTCAAAACTTTCATTACCCACACCTAAATGTATTTAAATTCTAATTACCCAATTGATTTTATATGTCATTAAAAACATACAGCTGTTAGTGTAGGTTTATCTATTTCAACTATATCAAAATAGTGGTATAGACATTTTACGACTCTGATGTTATGTCCACTCAATCTCGTCGATGACGTCATGATATACTCAGTTTTTCCAGTACCTTATGTTAACAATCACCTTAATGTTTGAGAAATAAAAATGTTCTGGTACGTTTAACCTAATGTTTTATGTGTGCTTCTTATCTCCCTAGTCCTGTTCAGAGCGGACCGTAAAGGCAAGCAAGGTAGGCAGTGCATACACTACTAAAACTTCTTTTTTTTAAATACAAAACTACAAAAATTATTTACGTTTTCCCATTTCAACATTTCTTAGCCACAATCTTCTATGCAGTCTTAACTTTTCGAGTAGATTGCTACAGTTCATTAGAATAGCTAAGTTAATATTGTTACTTTTTTAATTGTTGGCCTACTTGGTGTTGCTATCTAGGGTACCTAACGAGTCTCTCGTATCGTCCTCTCGCCTGCTTAAAATTTCCGCATGGCTGGTTTTTAACTTCAGCCTATCGCGTATTCAGTGAGGCAAAGGAAGTGAGAGCGTATCGTAAATGCTCGAATAAGAGCCGCTCTTGAATAAGCGCCGCACTAAACGTGATTCCTTTCGTTAGCTCGATAAGCGCCGCTGCGCTTATTCGAGAGTATATTATTATTACCCAGTGTGTAATGAAACACTTTAAGAAACAGGGTCTTAAATACAATGGATAACACAGTGAAGACACAAGCATTTCTTTATAATCGTTTGACGTTTAGACCTGGCCTACCGAACTACGGGAATAACCTGAAATAGGTAACAATAGGAACGGGTATTTCAATGTAGGCCTACATGGAAAGTGCCACTCCAATATTTTTGTGATAGCGCCGCTCCCGAATAAGCGCCGCACTGAAGCCTCCAAAAAAGTTATAGGCCTAAGCGCCACGGCGCTTATTCGATCATTTACAGTGTACCCTACGGTGGTACAATGGTAAAACATCCTATTCTGCCAACCGCATGGTGGCGTTAGAATAGCAAATTTAACACTGGAGTGGAAGCGCTCCTTCCAAAGAGTATGTGCGCATGCTCCTCTTCTCATTGCTTGCTTCTCCACAGTAGCTATAATCGGGACCTCTGCTCTGCCAATCAGATTATTTGTATTAGCAGACATTGTGTAATCTCAATGATTAAAATTAAAGTAAATAAGACCTGTTTAGAAGAAGCTTGTATTTGCTGCGAAGCAGCCAATTCATATTCTTGGTAGCAATTTGACCTCTGAAAGGTCACTGTTTGTCAAAAAACGAGTGCCTAAGACGACAGAAAAGCGGAGTTTGTAGACTAACCTACTCGTACCAACGTCCGCATGTCGCGCTAGCCTTATCCTACTCTAGGCCTAGATTAGCTAGGATGGTATAGGCCTAGTCTTGAAGGGACGAAGGTCCCAATGAAAAACAACGTCGCTCTTTGATAGCTAACATTGTCTATTTAACATCACAATAATTCATTATTAGACCTATAGTTGTTTTTTGAATTGTACTCCACAAATCTCAGCCGATACCTCGCACAAATC